AGAAATTCCAAAGTAGTGTAAGCAGGTGAGAAATGAAAAATTTAGTATAAACTAAGAAAGTGAAGAAAGAGGAGGCACAAGCCAAAAAGCATGCTGGGTTTGATGTTGAGTCAGAGTACTCGGAGGTGCCAGAGGCTTGATTGTAAACTCTGTGACAGGGTAGGGACCCTCTCGAACTCATGTTTGTGTCTTCAGTGGCGCATGGTACCGATCCCTGATCGGGCCATAAACATGGGTTAAAAGAGGACGCATCTGAGCCTGTTACTTCCAGTGAATTGTGTACGCTTAACATAGAATTTATAGGTTGTTTGATTTGTAAGAGGAATTCAGAGTACAATTCCATCATTTTATCAGTGATGAAACTGGGCTTCTGGATCCATGCCCTCAAGTAATTCTGAATCTATCTGGGAAGATGAGCCATGCAGACTGTATGTTGCAGGACCCGTGTGATCTTGGCATTCAGAACTCAGGTAGAGTCTTCACACTTTATGCTGTATGTAAAGTGTAAACATGGAGAATGATACTCATAAAGCACCATGAATATCTAAGGAGACTTAGGCTCCATGTGGGCAGGGATTGCATGTTATCCTAACTTTGTATCTTCCCCAGCATTTAGCACAGTGTTCCAAGAGGTCGCTAAACTTTTATTTACAGCCTTACCAGTAAAATATACTTGTGCATGTGCCCAATGTATGTATATGTGTTGGTAAATGATAGGCATGTAATATTATGTGCATTATAATTTATATTACATAGTAACTAATAATATAATTTTTATGTAATTGTATTATTTAACTTTTTTGAGGAAAACTTTCTACAGAATGCCGTAGAAGCTTTCAAAACTAGATTATAAAACATAAAAATAGAAATTAAAAAGGATAAGATAAAAATTAAACACTGTTTAAACACCATATATACACACAGATGCAGATACATGTATGTATCCACGCGTGTATATTGCATATACACATATGCGTGTATATATACATTCACATATGCACACACATGCATGTATACACATACATACATACATGTTTGTGTGTATGTGTGTGTGTGTAAAATTAACAGTGACAAATCCTTCTGGTATACCAGAAGTGGTATTAATATGTGTTGGTGAGAACAATGCAATTGAATGTACTTCATTATTTTTAAATCTCTTGGTTTAACATATTGGGATAATGATTCGAAGATCTGGTTTTAAGTTTGGGTTATTTCAATATTTGCTTTTAACGGCAGTTCCAGCTGGAAAGCTGTCTTACCAATATGTGTACATGTAAATGGAAGAAGTACGTTATTGACTGTGATTACTAAATCATGATACTCATTTTTCAATTGCATGCATCAACTCATCCATCAAAGAAAAATTTTGTTTCAATTTGCTAACAAGTTCCCATCTTCCCTGATATCAATCAGATGTTCTTATAAACTGAACAGAGGGTGTAGCATTTTTTATATTTTTAGTAAGTGGATTCAGAACCCATTGAAACGTTTTTGAGGGAGGAGATTTTAACAGGTTAGAAACTTTTGTTTTTAAGCTTTTTCCACTGTGTGCCTATGGGTTTTTATATATGACATGCTTCATTTTTTCTTCAACAAAATCTCCAATAATGGATAAGGATTGGAATAGGGAATAGACCTGTGATATCACTGCTATAGAGAACTCCTAATGAGCAAACTCTGTCTATCAGTGCAGGGGGGTATCATTTGTTGCTCAGACATGTCTGACTCTTTGTGACCCACGGACCATCCTGCCCATGGGTTTTTTCTGGGCGAAAATAAGAGTGATTCTTCATTTCCTTCTCCAGGGGATTAAGGTAAACCAAGGTTAAGTGACTTGCCCAGGGTCACACAGCTAGTAAGTATATGAGGCTGGATTTGAATTCAGGTCTTTCTAACTCCAGGCCCAGTACTCTATCCACTGAGCAATCTAGCTGCCTCCTGTAACTAAAAGTCTTTATGTTGAATCTTGTCACTTAATTGTGCTTCTGTGGATTTCTGAAATGCTTTCAGCAAACACCACCACTGCCAACAGTTCCTGGGCTCTGATTCAGTGGCCTCTCCCAAATGCCCATAGTAACTACTTGGCTTGAGCAGTAGCAAAGGGGCTTCCCCTATGCTATGATACTTCATGGTATCCTAAAATCCTTTTACAACAAAAAAAGTAAATTCTTCATGGAATTAGTTGCACTGGAATTTGACTTAAACTAAAGGTATTAGCTTCATGTTTTTGTTATTTCTAGTCAGGGCTTGTCCTTACACATCACATCTTTCATCATACTGGAGAAGGAAATATTCCTTATTGGATTACTTTTCTCTGGTGCAGAATCTGATTGGGAAGGTAAATCTACAGGAAACTTCTCTAGATAGAAAGGTTTTTAATTATATAAAAATAAGGTTCAGATCAGCAAGAGGAAATTCCCTCCCAGGCCAGCGCTCAGCAAAGGGCTCAAGGCTTGCCTTAATTTTTCTGACTTTCTGCTGTCTTTCAGAGAAGCGTTAGTCTCTCAAGATCAGCTTGACAAGCATTTATCAAGTTAGTTATGTGCTGGGCACTTTACTAAGCCCTGGCGATACAAAGAAAGGCAAAAACACAGTCCCAGCCCTCTGCATTCTACAGGGGGAGCCAACACGTAAACCACTAAGTGCATATAAGACAGTTATGTGATTTCTGCAGGGTGTTTGGAGTGCTCCAAAAAGCAGCTGTCCACGTCCGTGGGAACAACTTTGGGTGATGGCTAGGTTTCCTTTGTGTTTTCAGACAAGTGTTGTTGTGATCAGTCAAGTGTCCCAAATGCATATCATAGTGGGAAGTTGATCCCTGTGTGCGGAAAGGAAGGGAAATGTTATTCTGCTGCCTTTCCTTTTCTGCTTGTCAGCAGGGTCTAGCTGAACAGCTGATAACCAAAAAGGCAAAGAGTTAAACAATGAGATAGGCTTAATTAAGAGAAAAATGTCTCTTTTCCAGTAAGCAAGAACTTAACAAACATCAACTGTGTGTGTCTGTGGCGGGGGGGGTGGCATCTATATAGCACCTACTATGTGCCAGCACTTTGCCAACATTAACTCATTTGATTCACACAACAACCCTGTGAGGTGAGTGCTGTTATTATCCCCACTTTTACAGACTGAAGCAAACAGATTATTACTTGCCCCAGAGTTACACAGTTAATGCTAGTGACTGGGGTCACATTTGAACTCAAGTCTTCCTGACTCCAGGTCCAATGCTCTATCCATTGTGCACCTACCTGCCAGATACTGGGGAAAGAAAGACAAAGCAAACAAACCAAAAAACCCCAAAAGACCAGAAAATAAAACAAAAACGAGTCCCTTCCTTGGAAGATATTTTACTTGGTAGAACAAACTGCAGGCAGATGAACGAATACAAAATACACAGAAAGGAAATACAAAATAACTTTGGTGGACGGGAATTAAAAATGATCAAGCACTTATTAACCACCTGCAATGTGCTAGGTACTGAGGTGACAACGACACAGAATGACACAATCCACACTCTCAACAACTAACAAAACGTTTTAAGAATGACCTCATTGGGGCAGCTGGGTGGCACAGTGGATAGCGCTCCAGCCTTGGAGTCAGGAGGACCCGAGGTCAAATCTGGTCTCAGACACTTGACCCTTACTAGCTGTGTGACCGTGGGCAAGTCACTTAACCCCGATTGCCTCACTCCCCCCCCACAAAAAAAATGGCCTCATGTTCCAGGTTGGGGTTGGGAGGATTGTCCTTGCTCAGACATAAACACTGCAAATGCCATTTCTTCATACATTGGTATAACAATATTATGGTGTGTGGGGAATATGAACCAAACATTCCCTTCTCCCAAATCTATTACAACTCTACTTATCAAATCTTGAGGTCCAATCATAATTTATACATGTCACATAAATCATTGAACAGCTCAGACCAAGCTTCAACTGTCAAAGACTAAAAGTATAATAAAGTTCAAATTAGGCAAAGCAGGTAACTATTTCCACATACAAAAAAAAAAGCTTTTTAATCCAGTACCACCAATCTAGAGTGAGAGCTGACCTCAGAGATTACAAATTCCAGCCCATTCCTTTTCTCCGGATAAGAGAACTGAACCAGGAGATGCTAACTGATCTGCTAAAGGTCACATTGGGTCAGAGCATCAGCAACATCATAGAACAAATCCCCTTAATAAAATGATTTGTTCTGTAAAACTTGGACTTGGTCAAAAGGCCGCACCCAAGGACCAGAAAGCCACATGTGGCCTCAAGGCCACAGGTTCTGTACCCCTGGTTCAGTAGATAGATCCTAGGAGCTGCCCAACACTCATACAGATTAAATGACTTGCCTAAGTGTGTATAGTAATGTTAGGGGTAAGATCTGAATCCAGGTCTTATGGACTACAACCCTGGACCCATCATATTACTTGCCCAAATGTATCATTGTAGAGCCAGGACTGATATCATGTTGTCTCATAGACTCCAAATTTATGTTTTTTGTCACTATGCCAGAGACCAGTACATTGAGGCCTCTGTGTTTATTCTAATGTAATGGAGTTCTAAGACATGTAATGATTATTGTACTACTAATAAAATATTTATATAGCACTTTAAAGTTTGGAAAGCATTTTATATAAATTATCTCATTTGATATTCCCTATAACTCCATGAGGTCGGTATTAGTATTTTTATCTCCATTTTACAAAAGAGGAAACAGGGTTAGAGAGGTTAAGTGAATTGTCCAGAGTCACGTAGCTAGTAAATATCTGAGTAGGATTCTTATCAAAATCTTCTTGATTCCAAGGCCAATACTCACAATACTAGAACCCTTTCTAACTTGAGCTAATGTGAGTTAAATGAAATATTGTCAAAATAAGAACCACAGGACTGATTTTTGTGTAGGAATGAAAGCATATGAAGTTCACAAAATGTTGAAGCCAATTGCATGTGTATCCAGTCCTGAATATTCTAGATTTCCTTTATTAAAAGCCATTAAATCTATCTTTTTATTTCTAGGTCTCATAATGGGATTGATTTTACGTTATGCTACAGCCCCAACTGACATTGAAAGTGGAACTGTCTATGACTGTGGGAAGCTGGCTTCTGGTCCATCAACACTTCTAGTCAATATCACTGACCAAGTTTACGAATATAAGTACCAAAGACAGGTCAGCAAACACAACATCAGCCCTCACCAAGGCAATGCGATGCTTGAAAAGGTAAGGGCCCTCTCTGTTACCTTGGTTGTATTTCCTAATTTGCCTTTGTAAATTGCTGTGTTGTAAATTGTGGCAAACACGGATGTATTTATGTGACCCACCGTTGTGTACAAGAGTGACTGGACAAACTTTCCATGTATAGCTAACAAGCTGGTTGTCCATAAATCTCATTCTGGCTTAACTTTTATTGTGAAAATAAAACAAATAAATAAATAAAAGATCTGAGGATGAAAGGATAAATATATAAATATAACTGCACTTAGGATGAGGAAAATAAAACAATTTGTCCACTTATGATCAATTAATTGAAATTTTCACTAGGCTTATAAACATTGAGGATAGTCATAAAGCAATGGGCAAAGATTACTCCTTAGTATGTAAGGAGATGTAAGTTCCATGAGGGCAGGAATTGTATCTTCTACAAACTTTGTATCTTCTCCAGCACTTAGCAGAGAGATACAAAGATGTGATCACCAAACTTTTTTGATCTTCCATCCTATCAGTAAAAAATAAAATAAAAAGTGTGTACCTCCAGGATATGTCTACTTATTAGCAATTTGTATGGATATTATGGCTCATGGGATTATGAAGAGTCCTACATTGCTAAATGTCTTAACAAGAACAACAACTCATCAGCCCTGGATTCAGGAGGACCTGAGTTCAAATCCAGCCTCAGATAACATTTACTAGCTGTGTGACCCTGGGCAAGTCACTTAAACCCTTTGCCTAGCCCCCCCCCCCAAAAAAAAGTCAATAAAATTAATTTTAAAAAAAGAGCAACTCATGTACTACTGCATTAATATATTATGTACTTTATAAGAATTAAAATAGAAATTTTTAAAAGGGTGAGATAAAGATTGAGCACCATTTAAAAAAAAGTACTTTGTTTCTAGTACCCAAATTCTTTTTGTTTGCTAAAAGCATTATTAATAGTGATATATTTATTAGTGAGATCAGTGCAATTGAACGTGTTTCTTGATTTTTTAAAAAAAGATCTTTTGTGATAGTGATTCATAGATCTGGTTCTCAGTTCAGCTTGATGCTTGGTTTTAACGGCTGTCAGAGCTGGGAAAGGTCTCTCACAAAGATGTGTAGAGCTAGGAGGAAGTAGAGAATTGTTGGCTGAACTTGCTAAGTCGTGGTGGTCATTCTTCTGCAAAGATGTTTAGTGAGATTTAGACAGTGACTTTCCATCTCCCTGTATGTCAATCGGTTGTTTTTGCAAACTAATTTGGAGTTGCATTTTTAACTTTTATTTTTAATTTATCAAGTAAAACAAGCATTTCCATAACATAGTACAATTAAAAAAAAAAGATTGCACGTGAACAGGTAAATCTGCTATGCACAACTTGTTATTCTTTTCTAATTAACAATGAAATTATCATGTAAATCTTTTTCTTTCTTTTTTCTTCCCTCCCCCACCCTAAAGATAGCTACCATTAGTCACAAATAGGCATAGATGTGTAATATTATTCTATACATGCTTCTATTTGTCAGTACTCTGGATGTAGATAGCATCTTTCTTCCTATGTCCTTTATAGTTAATTTGGGTATTTATAATAGTCAAAGTAACTTATTTGCTCTAAGTTATTCTTAAAACAATATTGATGTTACTATGTACACTGTTCTCTTCATCCCGCTCATTTTGTATTTTTTATATTTTTAGCAAATGGGTTCAAAACCCATTGAAGCTTCATTTGGAATGTTAAAAAAAATAAAATAAACAGGTTAGAAAGTTAGATATGAGAATTTTCATGTGTGGTACACTTCACATTGTCCAATAAATCCCATAATTATGGCTAGGGATTGTGATATAGGGACTGGACCTGAAATTTCATTGATAAAGAGAATTCTTGGAGAAGCACACTTTATCTAGCTATGCAGGTCAGCACCTTCCCTGCAACTTAGAGTCTTAAAGAGTTTGACATCTACAGCAGAAGTGGTAAACAAACCACTTGGGGGCCACATCAAGTGAATGTGGCCTGAACCAGATTACCAGATTAAAATGTAATTTCTATGTGATTTTATAAAATACATACATGACTTATATATATATATATATATATATATATATATATATATATATATATATATATATATATATATATATATATAATGTGTATATATGTAGTATTAATGTACATTTTTTATATTGTAGTATATGCACATAGTTTATTAAGAAGTAGCTACACTAGGAACATATATGTTTTATTTTATTTTTTACTGATAAGTTTGTTGTCACTGTTCAGTCATTTCAGTCATGTTCAATTTGTTGTGAGCCCATTTGGAGTTTCTCAGCAAAGATACTAGGTGGTTTGCCATTTCCTTCTTCAGCTCATTTTACAGATGAAGAAACTGAGGTAAACAGGATTAAGTGATTTGCCCAGGGTCACACATCCAGTAAGTGTTTGAGGCCAGATTTGGACTCAGGAAGATGAGTCTTCCTGACTCCAGGCCTGACATTCTATCCACCTAGCTGCCTAACTGTTTGGGTAGGGGACCAAAAAAGTTTGAAATCACTTGGACTTGGAGTTCACTGTGCTAGCAGGAGTCCCTCTGTAGAGTTATTGGCCCTAATTACTATCAGCATTTGACACTGCTGACCTAGAATACTCAAGAGACTAAGTCCATTGACCAGGATCACATGTTATGTCAGAGACCATGTAAGATCCCAGGTCTTCTGAGCTTCAAAACCGGCTCTCAATCCACTATGCCGTCCTGTTTCTTGATGGAAATGAGAAGCATCAAAAGACAAAGATAATAAAGGAAATATTTCCAAACATCTACTTTCCAAGTGCTTTTTTCTAGCCCTTAGCACAGTGCCTGGCACGTAGTAGGCACTTAATAAATATTTATTGACTGACTCCACTGGAATGGTTCTTTCAAAAATCAATTATTTTCTTATTCATTGTTGAAATGTCTCCTTTCCCTTCAAGGGACAGATTAGGTTTATTTTTTTCAAAAACATTAGCAAGGTAGCACACTATTGACAGCCATTTGTTGTCACAAAAAAGGCAGCAGATTTGGAACACTTTGATTTTGATAAAAAGAAAAACGCACAATTCCTCTTTCAGTCTGACAGCCCTTTTAAGCATTTGTCATGAGAAAATCAGAACAACTCTGTGTGGTACCACAGAAGGGTTTCATGGTGACGCCTCATCGGCTTTCATTTTGATTGAGTCTTTAAAGTGGCTGATGACGAACTCACAGAAAGGAGTAGGAGAAGCGTCTGTGCTTTTACAGGTTGTGTGTGTCTGTGTCTCCATTATTAGTGATTTAGTCACTAATTAGTCATTAGGACGATAGTGTAAGTATTATCAGTAGTATCTGTAATCTCCACTTTCTTTGCAAGGATCTTTCACATTACTTCTCTGTCTTGTGTCAATTACTTAAGTAAATACTAGATAATATAACCTGGTCATCCATTTAACTGGACACACCTAAACTACACTATTTCATTGTGTTCTGATAGAGAATGGAGGAGTGAGGCTGCTGTCCTTGTCCCCCTCTGAGCTGTGGAATTCCTACCTTGCCTCAGAGTGCCTCATTGACCATATCTGACACGTGACCATCTCATATACAGACTGAGTGAAAGTCTTCATGTCAGTAAATATTACCAAGACTTAATTTCTTTCTAATTGTTTAGAAAAAATGTAAATAGTCTCTTTTTTTCTAGTACCACCGGATTATCTTGCACGCCTCCTGGGCATATATACCACTTTGAAGAACACTACCCTACAAAGCAGGACATTAATCCACATTTATTGAATTGAATTATGCTCAGTAGATAAACCCCATTGTTGTCTATATATTTGTAAAATTCTGTATGAAAGGCCTAAGGAAAAATCAGAGGCATATAATTGTAATTCACATTTATACAGTGCTTCACAATTTACCAAGCAGTTTCTTGGCAACATCCCTGTGAAGGAAATGTTCTAAATATCCCTCCCCCCTCCATTTTATAGATGAAGAAATTAAGATTCACATAGCTAAAGTGATTTGCACAGGGTCGCAAAACTAAAAAGGTTTGCAGCCAGGACTTGAACTCAGGACTTGCACAAATGAATTTGCCTCTACTTACAGATGATGATGCAGAATGGTGGGACTACATCTGATGACACACAAAAAAGCTGCCAATTGGTTGTTTATAAATAACATGGAGATGTTTTCCAGAACATGTGAAATTTTCAATTAACACTCAGTCTCAGTAAATTTCCATCCTATCATTTCAGAAAAAGAAAATTCATGTGCTCATTCAGTGAGTATTTATGAGTGCCTGCTACATGAATGGCACCATGCTTGACATTAAGCTTTAATGATTTAAGTCTATAATCTTTTGGCAGCAAACCCTCATTTCACCAATGCAGATAGCAGCCCTTCTTTGCTTAGTAAATGGCCTATGAGAGGCAGTGGCCAAAACAACTCCTCACCTCCCAGCTAATTTCTTAGTGACAAAACACTCTGAACTTAGCAAGGCTGGTCCTAGAATGCTGAGTCCATTATACGCAATCTCTTAAATTTACTAGGACTTACTAAAGCTTGGCCTCTGTTGGAATTGAGATTAATTTGCCCAATTTCACCTCCATACCATGGTTTTGTTTTTATTTTTGAGATTCTTGATCTTTCCTTGAATTCTCCAAGTGAACTTTTGATATTTTTTCCTTTTTTTTTTTTTTTTGGTTAGGCAATGGGGTTAAGTGACTTGCCCAGGGTCACAGAGCTAGTAAGTATTATGTGTCTGAGGCCGGATTTGAACTCAGGTCCTCCTGAATCCGGGGCCAGTGCTCTATCCGTTGCGCCACCTAGCTACCCCTATTGTGCCACCTAGCTGCCCCTTGATATTTTTTCCAAGCTCTATAAAGTAATCCTTTGGAGGTTTGATTGCCATGACCCTGGAGGACTAAATTAATTTAGGTAGTATATCCAAGTGCTCCTTTTTGAGTAGGGCCTTTCTGATCCCTTCCTCTCCCATTTCCAGGATTCATGACTTTTCTTCAAAG